CTCACGAGTAAGCACGATGAAAAGCTGCGTGAAGTACGCGAAGAGGTTCGTAATTTTTTGTCCTTTTTTCATGAACTTCATTCTAAGCGTACCTAAACAGTAACTGAAATATACCAGGCTAAACCGGATGCACGGTTCTGTTCCAGGCAATTTTCTACAACAATTACTTGGCTGATCCAAACAGGCCTGCCAATGTGGAGGTCAAGCCAAGCCCCGCGCCACCACGGGAAGAAGAGCGTCGTGAGGATAGATACAGTAAGTTTTCGCTTCATTATGCTCGATAGGTGCTGTTGTAGTCGGTGCGTCTGAGGACATCAGTCAACTGCCCTCCTCCTTCTTCCTTTTTCCATCTTTCTTATTTGCCCTCCTTTCTTTCTTCTTTCCTTTCTTCCTTCTCTCTTTTCCGTTATCTCTTCTCTCCTCTCTCTCCTCTTCCCCGCTCCCCTTCCCTATCCCGTCTTCGTTACTTTCCTCCTTTTGCATGCCTGACGAGAAAATGTAATGACAAAATACTTCTGAAGCTTCGCAGCTAGAAAACATTCGGTAAATAGAAGCCCTGTCCCCCTCCAGGTTAAGCCTCAGAAAGGCGTAGCCATGACATGGTCGTGGCACAGCCTCGCCATGAAGCTTAGAGAAGCAGGCTCGATGGCGGCACCACTTGGTCCCTTCCAGTTGCAACAGCACCCACTGATTATCTCTGGGCGCTGGTATGGCGCTAGTATCACTGCTTTGGGTACTTCATTATGTGCTCCATCAAAATACGACAAAGTTTTCTTCTATATTTTTTTATTCGGATTTGTGGCTAGATTGAAGATGTTTGAAACCACAGTCAATGTGCTATTTAGGAGATCGCAATGAACGCAGCGATCGAGGCGGCGGAGATCGCAGTTATGCGAGTAGTGGGGACCGCAGAAACCGTGGTTACGCAGGCTTTGGAAGCGGTGGTCCGCCTCGCGATCGTGGTCCACGTTTCACACCAGAATCGTCACGCCCTCTCACCTCTTACAGAGACCTCGATGCGTTCCCAATTGATTGAGTTAATGAGCTGTTCTTAATTTATCATTCGGTGTTATCTCATAGTTCAAATATTCGATTTTTCTTTGAAAAGTTATCGTTTTTAGTTAAGGTTTGCAGGAATATTTCTCATTGCTCTGTGAGGTGTGGTAATGTTCGCCCATTTCTTTTTACTCTAAATATTTATATTGTTCAACTGATATTGAGAGAAGTTGGAAAACGCGTTGATCTTTTTCTGGGCTGACTGTGGTCCGACGTCGATGCCCGTTAGACTTCATTTGGGTTAGTGGTCAGATAATTTAGCTATTGCCATATTCGGTATTCAGTGCTGTAGGTAGAGACGTGGTTTTTTGTGAAGAGTTTCAGTTAGCTTATTTTACAAGGACTGAAGGAGCACTTATGAACCGGCTCTGGTTAGCTATTTATCGACTGCTGTTACAATTAAGATTGTTCTGTTATCATTTCCCCCGTCCTGATTGTGTTTCTAAATGAATTGTTGAGTAAATCGTTTACAAGATATGTTGTTATTTGCTTTTCTACTGATTTAGGATAGTCAATGAGTAAAAAAATGTTTGTCGGAAAGAATGTAGTTTGGAAATGGAAAGCTGTACAATGCTATTTCGTGTGCCCATTCATTCGTACAGAAGAACGCTTCCGCTGGTGGGTGAGTGATCGTCATCGTGTAAGCAGCTGATGGAGGCTGCCTTCCTTAGTTTTGCTGTTGTCTTTTTCTACCGAGAACTTCAATAACAAACTTCATTACAACCTGTTAGGCCAAAGTACATGATCACTCTGCAGGAAAAAGACTCGGAACAATCACAATTTCGGAGACTCGCACAAAATTTGGCTGATGTACCAATATCTTACATCCCTGTATACCCACACTGTTGCCTCGTTACAATAGTCGCTTACGTCGTTTGGAGCTCGAGACAATACTCTATAGAAGTTTGAATATTTCGATAGAGCTGTCCAAGACTGCTAGACTTTGTACAGCTTCGACTTACTTTTTGGCTTTCGTCTTCTTCAGAGCCTAGAGGTTGAGAAGCATCTGGCAATGCTCCACAGAAGAAATGTCTTTAGGATAGTTTGGGTTCTTCAGTAGTTCGTGAACGGACCATTTTTGAATGCCTCTCGAATGCAAGCTCAGAAGGGGGCGGCGAAGCAGAACCCCAATAAAGCAACTATTTTGGACAGGCTTCCGACTATTCTAACTATTCGCAATGGTAATTAGTGGCTCGTCGAGGTGGAGGTGGTGTAGTGACAAGTGGTCCAAATAGAAACAAAGAAAAACAA